GAGAGAATATAACTTTAATACAATGCAGTTTCCCAAACAAAGTCACCTTCATCCATTAAAGGTTCTGGGCTCAAATTTAATTGATTTATCTTCCTTAATCTCTGCATTTCCATGCAATATTACAGAATAATTGGCTGACATTTAAAAATGCAGAATTATGAATCAGCTTAACTAGGAGTACCTGCTACACATTTCTGATAAGGAGGCCAGTGCCTAATTATATCTCTCTCTAAACCTATTTAAGAGAGATACCTCTTAAACAAATTATATTGATGGGATTCTCTTGATAGGAAAACACTTGTAATTGAAAACTAAAGGGCTGCTCACAAGCCATTGCTGATACTATTTTGAGATAGACACAACATTCATACGATCATTCATGATGATCATTCATGATGAGATTACAACAATATGATAATCACTGGGGCTTCTCCAATCTCTTTTGGGAAATTCTAATTTAGCAACAGATTAAATCCAAATTAGATCTGCCTCTACCCTCTCAGGATTTGTTACACATAGTAGACTAATTAATTTGTAAGACAACAACAATTTGAAGAACTTCACACATAAATACAGAATATCACATACAAATACAGAACTGCAAGCAGGAATGGCTTCACTCAAGAATGACAGTATTAAATAACCATTAGACGCTTATTTGGCTGAATGACAGATGAGACCTAAAGTATTGGCAAGACAAAAATCCATGCTGCTGTTTATCAAAATTTACCTCCTCAAGTTTTGATAATCAGTTCCAGGTGGGTTACCTTTTTGAGTGATGTTGGCTTCTTCACCTTGGGAACTTCTCTCTGCTTTCCCTTCTTGACCAATGGTGAACTGGAATCTAAAGGGTTATGGGGAGTCTTTCCTTGGTTTAACTGTGGACTTTTTGTCATTGTCATTGATTCTTTTGAAGGCAATGTTACTGCACCACCAACTAAAACAAACACAAATCCGTTGTAAGAAGTTTGAAATCTATTTTCACCTGGAAGAAAAACCTCTTAATATTTGCTGCACTTACTTCTGACAAATATATTTAAGATTGGAGTATTCTCATACTAAATACAAGGCTCAAGTCATAAACACATGGGAAGGAAAGTGTTCTTTTCCTGATACAAAGCATGAATGGCTTCCCTAGTTTATTCACTGGAGCTTTGTTTTCACCAATTTATATTGTGAATACACCAATTTTTGCAATAAACCTCAAACATATACAATACTCCTGTTCCATTTACTACATTCCTAAGTCAATTACATTGGAACTAATTGTTTTGACTTAGGAATGTAGTAAATGGAACTAGTTAAAAATGCAAATTAGCCAAAATCCTGTTGCTTAGTATAGTAAATTATATTTCATTTAGGCCCATTGAATCAATGGGGATTTGGTGAGTCAATTCCTTTGTAGGTTCCATTGATTCAAATGGGCCTACTTTAGCATAGTAAATTACAGTTGGAGTAGGCTGATTTAATTCAATGGAATTTACAGAGGAGCTCATCACTACCTCCCCCGCCCCTGCTCCCAATTCACTGGCTTACTCTACTGTGATTTATAACACTAAGCAACATAATTTTAGCCATTGTATTAAATACATCTGGGTTAAAATCTCAGACACAACAAGTATGTTTTCTTTAAAATTTCTGCACTCCATGCAGATCCTGTACTGCTGTTTCAGAAGGTGCTTATTCTCAGCCTTATTGCAACTACAGTAAATAAATAAAGCAGATTTTTAGCATTTTAATTTGGAAACATTTAACACTCATTTCACTTTCTCATTTTTCATCAGTGCAGATTTGTCACAAAGACATGATTTCTCAATTTATCTTCCTAATCTATGAGCAGAACCTTACATAACTTATTGGAGACAACTTGCATGATATATAAAAAGTGATTCCACAAGCTCTTTTGTGATTTAAGAACTGTACCCACCATATAGATCTATTTCAAAATTTGAATGTTGAGATTAAAACAACAATCTTAGACTTTGCAACACTGAAAAATCCACAATGCTCTACATCATATTCCCCAACTACTACAAGTAAGTAACAGTAAAAAGTCCCATTATTATGATTTTAGATACTTTTAGATTCTTTCAGGAGTACAAATGGCAGTCAGGCTCCAGCACTGGGACTCAATGTGTTCTAGAAGGAACGGAGCTCGACAGGTCCACAGCCTGGATTATTCCTTGATACTGCACTGGATTCCTGGGTGACAGCAGTTATGATGAATGAGCATCTTTGTGTACCTCATGTGCTACCTATGGCCTTTCCTCAGTTGATCTGACTCAGTACAAGTCAGCTCTGCCTTAGTTACATTGCACCTTGACTATTGCCATGTACTCTATGAGGGGGCACCCCTGAAGAGGGTCTGGAATCTTAAGCTGGTGCAATATATGGCAGATATGCTATCAGTTGGTACACAGTATTGAGATCCCACAAGCCTAATATTTCAAGACCTGTCCTATTGCCTGTGAAGGCTTGGGCAAGCTGCACAGTCTCAGCGCACCCCCAGAAGAAGGAAACAGTAAACCACTTCTGAATATTCTTTGCCTGGAAAACTCTGAAGAAGGGTGATCATAAGTAGGAATTGACTTGACAGCACATGATTATATGGATACCCAGTGTGGTGTACTGGACAGAGTGACAGACTAGGACTCTGGAGAACAGAGTCTGAATTCCCACTCAGCCATGGAAACTCATTGGGGGAGTGGAACTGATAAAACCACTCTTTAAACATCTGACCTCGAAAGCTCTGTTAGAGTCACTATAAGTCTGTTCCAACTTGACAGCACATAACAACAGTAACAACAACATATTTGAAATAAACCAAGAAGAAAAACATTATTGGAACATTTACCTGAAAGCACCACAGGTTTGGGTGACTGCTTAGCTTTTTCTGCATGTTGTTTTTCTTCCAAAACAGCCAGCATACCCCCCAAATCCAACTGCACAGGAATCTGACTTTTCTTGCCACTGCTCTTGGATGGTTCCTGCAAGAGGAGAAATACACAGAAATTACTTGTTCTGTGCAAATCTCATACCCATCTAACAACTCTAATGTCTGTGAACATATTAATTCAGAATAATTTACAGTGGTGCCTCGCAAGATGAGCACTTCGTTTTACGATGAAATCGCATGACAAAGTTTTTGCGATCGCAAAAGCGATTGCAAAACGATGTTTTCTATGGGGTTTTTTCGCTTTGCGATGATTGGTTCACTGCTTCGCTAACCGATTATTGCAAAACGATGATTTTAGAACAGCTGATCGGCGGTTTCAAAATGGCCGCCGGGTAAAAAAATGGCCACCTGGTGTTTTCTAGGACGGATTCCTCGCTGCATGGGCAGCAAAAATGGCCGCGCTATGGAGGATCTTCGCTGGATGGTGAGTTTCCAACCCATAGTAATGCATTAATCGGGGTTTAATGTGTTTCTATGGGCTTTTTAAAATCGCTTTACAATGTTTTCGTTCTACAGCAACTTCGCTGGAACAAATTAACATCGTAATGCAAGGCACCACTGTATTTTGCGCCAAAGCAAACCAATAAAACAGAAGTTGTTTTACCTGTGTTTTCCTTTTTTCTACTGAAGCTGGTGTAGTTTGTTTGTCTACTTTTATTCCTGATGCCTTGGGAGTTGACAATTCATGCTGAAAATGAACATCATGAAGCTCAGCGACAGACTCCTTTGTTATTACCACCTTTGAAATAAGGGAAATGTCATGAAACAGCTCATAAGAAACAAACTTATAATTGTGAGCTTTTCTCCTATAAGCATTCTATGGAGATTATTTTTAAGATCTGCCTATCTGTTTTCACATCCTGATACTGAACAACTAATTCTACATCCATATACACTAGTGAAAGTCACATTGTAAACTGATGATAGGAATTTGAGGAAATTAATTCAATGTTCCATACAAGCATGAACAGAGTTTTCTGGATTCCCTGCTTTCCACTAAGTGGCCTTCTTGAGGGTATAAGAGTAGTCAATTTCTGTAGGAATAAGGACTTCAAAATCCTAGGACTATTATACTGCAATGTAACTGCAGCACCACACACAAAATTTTAAAAGCAATGCAAAACTCAAATATGAGTTGTCTTTTAATCTAATTTTTGAAATTTGTTATTTCTTATACAAGTACAGGTACAGATATAGACCTGCCACATCTTTATTAAGATTTGGGAAACTGCAGAAGAAAATGGGACATGACTGGAAAAACAAGAATTGACAACAAAATAATAGAAATGAAAGAAATTGAGGGGTCATTTTAAAGAGGAAAACCAAAGAGGGGAAAAATTTCTTACTTCAGCTTGATCCCTAGGAACTGGTGAGGTCCAACAGGGTTTTGGAGTCCCTGGCTTGTACTTTTTATCAACAGCAGCTGCTAATTCTGGAAATTCTTCGTCATCCTATGTAAATGAAAGCAGGATCAGCTTAGGCCACTTTACTCAATATGGCACATATATACATCTTACTGGTCTGACTCCCTTCTCCATCAACAGTATATTACTGGAGTTTGTGATTTCTCTGCATCTTATCAGTTCTAAAACTGTACACATTTCTCCACTTTGAACAACAAAAAAGCTGTGAAAACAAACACACTTCTGAATTACTTGTGATATGTGCAGAAAAAAATTCTGTTTGATTTGCCACTGACACAGCATACAGTAGTGCCCCGTATAGCGAGGTTAATCCATTCCGGATTAACCTTCGCTATACGAAAACATCGCTGTGCGGGTAAGGAAAGCCTATTGGAACGCATTAAACTTAGTTTAATGCGTTCCAATAAGCGTCCAAACTTACCCCTCCAGCGATGTTTTCGCATCCGGCGGCCATTTTGGAGCCGCCGATCAGCTGATCGGCGGCTCC